CGTACGCTGACCGGAAGTAAAGATTTTGTTTTTCACCGAAACAATCCTTGAACCAGTCTTTTGACGTTACTCATGACGTTTATGTTTATGCTAAAAACGTCACTTGCTTAATTATAATGACAATAACACAGTCATGTCTCATGAACCAGGTTCAACTTCACCAACTGGAACGAAATCTTGCTTGCTCAAACGCACGAAAGAATAAATCGAATACCGGTCTAACGTTTTACGCGGTCACACTAGCGCTAGAATCGTGCTTGCTTGAACGAAATCCACTTGAATCTGTGAACAAGTCACCTTCCAAGCGCGCTTGGAAGTGTGACCGCAAAATGCGAAATTCAAAGGCGCCGAAGCACGGTCCAAACACAGGATATGTTTGAATCGTGCTAGAATGTGAATCTCAAGTGGATTATATAATTTAGCCAATGAAATTTTCTGTTTCAAAGGGAAATAGACGGGCAATTTGAAAATGTCATTAAGCAGTAGTTTCGAAATATATTGTCTATGTATCTTCGCGAGAAACGCAAACACTGCAAAGTCGAGTAGGAAAAATTTCAAAAGAAAAATGTCGCAGACACCAAGTAGCTTAAACATATTCAATGATATAAACGATGGCGCGTTCTTGTATATATTCGAACCCTTTTGATGGTCAGGAGAGTAATACTGCTTTTGCTCGTGCAACGCCAGCTCGTGCAACGCCAGAAGGCACGGATATTTGCGCTTTCAGCTCATGCAACACTAGAAGCCACGGATATTTGCGGGAACCAAAACCACCCCTATTCTATCCATATTTCCCTCGAGCAGAAAGGAGCTTTCTTTGGTGGTGTTGGTAATAAATACAAAGACTCGTTCTCCATCCCGGACGCCAAATATTTAAAACTGAAACCTTATATAATGATGGACTTTTAAATTACATCAGTTATCTGTCAACATCAAAGAGCAAGCACGCATACTTTTTCGAGTGTGAACGCGACGTGCTTGGCTTACATTCCAACATGTCCGAGATTAGCAAGGTGTTCACGCAAGTACGCTAATCCGGTGGTAATCTGCAAGCACAAGCGCTAGTGTGACCGCGACGTACTTGGCTTACATTCCAACATGTACGAGATTAGCAAGGTGTTCACGCAAGTACGCTAATCCGGTGGTAATCGTCAAGCACAAGGCGCTAGTGTGATCGCGAACGACCTTTGGCTACGTTCGGGAATGGGATTTTGACGTAATGTGCTGTTTACTGTACTTTTATTAACGCAAAATGATATCGTAAATGAACATTGAATGTCACGTAGCTAGTAGCACCAAGTACGTCACGACATGGTGTAATGTTCGCGGAATAGTGATACAACACTGATATTTTAAATCCTTTAAATTATTTGCCTAGGGTAAGTAAAAAAAATAGCTACACTTCTGAAATCGTCATTCAAATTTAACACCGCTATATTCGTTACTCATTCCTCTAGAATATTTTTTAAATAAAATCTACCAAGATTGCAGTTGTAAATCGAATATTGAATAATGTCATAATATAATTATTGGCATTTGGTTCTCTAATTCATTAGCCTGCGCGCAACTATACAGCAACAGCGTTGTATCATAGCAACAGCTGAAAGAAAAAATGTAAAATGTAAAATGTACTCTACGAAATTAATAAACTTTATCGCGTTGGGGAACACATTTACGCGACTTTGTAGCTTCTGAAATGCGATGTAAATAAAGCTAGAGTCTTTACGAACCAGCTCTGACGTGGAAAATTGCCGATGCCTGCCAACAACCAGCAGAAATTGGAGCTGTAAGGTACCTAATATGATCACTCGGAGTATACAATTTCAATCGTGAAAATATTCTTTCTCGAAATTCTTTCTAAAATTTTCTTCAAATTTTCAGTGTTTAAATATTGATAAAATTGATGATGTTATGACCTGAACAAACATGAATTCTCAATTGTGGATTACACAAAAAGCAAATTTCATTGATTCTCCCCCAGTTTCTCCCCTCATTTCTTAAGCGCGACGCCATGTTGAATTTCTAAATATCCAATATGGCGACCAGACATGAGGAGTGCATAATTATTTTAAAAATCCTTAAAGCTCTACTATTTTGAAACTGTATTTTGAAACTCGTGTTTCGGATAATCTCTTTGCAAGTTATTGTTTTTATGTAAGATAGCTTTACACATATCTTTTCTCTTGAAACTAAGATAAGGTAATATTTTATTTGTATTTTATTATTTATTTATTTGTATGTACTTAAAGATATTAAAATATATTGTGTATTCTGTTATTTCCGAGAACGTCAAAAACACACACTCATTTCTCTTGAGATATTGCTCCTTTCTTGGCAAATTTAAGTGAAACTTAAAAATATCTTAATACAGAGCATCAGCATTTAACTTTAATTAAAAATTCTACCATTATCCACTAAAAATTATGAGAAAATAGAAAAAAAAACATTAATTCAGTTTGACCCTGCACGTAGGAAGACTGGGGTGTCCTCCGATAGCTCCTTCAATTTCCTTATCTTTGGCTCCACTTGAACATTAGCCAAATGAGCGAAGTTCCTACTCTATATTATAAATTATATATTGCTCATAGTTGACGCATGCCGCTTGGCGGCCATATTGGCCCGCATTTCTAGCCCTGCCAAGGTTGACATTGCTGGAACGCAATAACTTAACTTTCAACCAACGTTGCCACAACGTGCGTAGCAATGGGACGTTGATGCAACTGAAAACCTCACCCTGCTCGAATGTTTATTTCAGCTTTCAATCAACGTTGCCCGCACAACGTGGCAATTTAACGTTGTGGTACAACGAACATTCAGCTATATAGACCGAACTTTAAAAACAACGTTAGACCAACGTTACTACAACGTCAGAATACAACGCTCATATAAACGAGATTACCACTTTGCCGGAATCCAACGTTCAACCAACGTTGCCCGCACAACGTAGCAATTTAACGTTGTGGTACAACGAACATTCAGCTATATATAGACCGAACTTTAAAAACAACGTTAGACCAACGTTACTACAACGACAGAATACAACGCTCATATAAACGAGATTACCACTTTGCCAGAATCCAACGTTCAACCAACGTTGCCCGCACAATGTGGCAATTTAACGTTGTGGTACAACGAACATTCAGCTATATATAGACCGAACTTCAAAAACAACGTTAGACCAACGTTACTATATACAACGTCAGAATACAACGCTTATATAAACGAGATTACCACTTTGCCGGAATCCAACGTTTAACCAACGTTGCCCGCACAACGTGTTTGTTTCCAATGGGCAAAACCACGCTCAACACCGTAGAGATTTTCGTAATATTTATTTATATATTCTAAAATGATTGCGTTTGATTAGATTACATTATATTATTGATTGGTGAATAAAGAACTTAACACATTACAAATAAAGATTATAGTACCTGAAGAGTGGGTCTCTACGGCTTGAAACAGCACTTCATTTCATTTCATACACAAGCTATATGCTCAATATCAAACTTAAATCTCTTTGTTCTTATCCTAATATATATAACTGTCCCGAATCAAATTACAAATCAACGCATATCCTATTGCAAGCAAATCAAGTTGAATCAAAGTATAATCAAGATAAATTAAATATGACGTAACAAATATAATTAATAATATGTAAAGTTTTGTCCGAAGGTGGGCTGTCCGAAACAACCCTCCGGGCCACGATCAGGACTCTTCTTCTAAGATTGGACAGCATTTCTGTACCGATCGTTTGTACTCTCCGTTCTTTGTCTTAAACTTCACGTTTCGTATCACACCGTCCTTGCCAGGAAAGACTTCGATTACTCGGGCTAGGTTCCATTTTCCCCTGGCGAGGTTGTCATCCACTACCAAAACGATATCGCCGCATTTGAACTGTCGCTCTTTCCGTTTCCACTTCGTTCGTCGCATCAGCGTTTGAAGGTATTCTCTCTGGAACCGGGTCCAAAATTGCTGCACCAATGACTGGGTGTACTCAAACCTTTTACGGTTGTTCTTCACTTCCGTAAATGGGCCTTGTGGAATATCAACGGTCGCTCGACCAAGGATGAAGTGGTTGGGTGTCAAGGGCTGAAGGTCGTTGGCGTCGTCTGAGGGGTATCCGAGAGGGCGGCTGTTGACGAGGCACTGTACTTCTGCAAAAACCGTCGACATCTCGTTCCAAGACAATGTCTGCTGACCAACTATCACTTTCAAAGCAGACTTTGTCTGTTTGACCATGCTTTCGAAAACTCCTCCCTGATGAGGACTCAGAGGAGTGTTGAATAGCAGTTTGAACTTATGGCTCACAGAAAAATCTTCCATTTGTCGTCTTCCTTCTTTGAAAAGCTCACGTAGCTCTTTCTCAGCTCCAACAAATGATGTCCCATTGTCCGAGATAACGGTGGCGGGCCACCCGTGGTGGGCTGCAAAACGTCGCAGGGCGTGGAGAAAAGCGTCAGTGGAAAGATCTTGGACAATTTCTAGGTGTATGGCACGAACCGTCGTGCAGGTGAAAACTGCTCCCCAAGCCTTGATTTTCTTATTTCTACCGTACTTGAGATAGAATGGGCCAAATAGATCCACGCCAGTGACTGAGAAGGGTGGAGAAAACAACTTTAGCCTTTCTGGGGGTAAGTCAGCCATGAGTGTGGTGTAAGGATACTGCCTTAATTTACGACAAGTGACGCAATCTTTAACAATCTTTTTTACCAGGTTTCTGCCACGGACAATCCAGAATTTCCGTCGTGTCTCGCACAGGGTACGTTCACGACCCGCGTGGAATACTCGGTTGTGGGAATCTTTGGCAACTAATTTCGACACGACGTGGTCTGCTGGTAGGAGCATAGGATGGGTTTCGTCGTATGATAAAGGCGAGTGCTTCAGTCGTCCTCCAACACGAATGATTTCGTCCTTTTCAAAGGGGGCTAATTCTTGATAGCGTTCTTTCCAGTTTTTTAATTGCTGTTGGGCGGACTTGATCCAATACTGTTCGGCTGATTCTATTTCCTTGGGAAGAAGCGGGCCTTGTACTCGACTTCGAGACTTCGCATTATTGATGAAGCGCAGGCAATAGGCTAAGACGCGACATAATTTCTGCCAGTTTGAAAATCTGGATGGGTCGATGATGGGACCTTTCACAGGTTGCAACGTAAATAACGGTTTGTTGACCTTCGTTTCGGGTACTTCTGGAAATGTTTCCTTGACTTCGGTTGGCCAATGTTCTGGACACTCTCTTAGGAACAACGGGCCATTCATCCAACGCTCGTTCATCTCATGGACCGCAATGCCACGACTAAGGTCGTCAGCTGGATTAAGGTCTGTTGGAACATACCGCCAAACGTCGGGCTCCCAGGTGCTTTGGATTTCTGCGACACGTACGCCAACAAACGATTTGAGTAAAGTGGATTCCGAACGTAGCCATGCAAGTACTATCATGGAGTCTGACCATAACGTCACTCTTATAGGTTTGATTTTGAACTCATCATAGATGGTTTTTGCTAATCTTGTCGCTAACAAGGCCGCCATCAATTCCAGTCGTGGAATAGTCGTTTGGCGTAATGGGGCAACTCTGGCCTTGGCGGAGATGAGGCGTACTTCTGTCCTTCCAGATGACGAGGACCAAACTAGATACGCTGCTGCTCCATATGCGAGGACGCTGGCGTCAGCGAATACATGCAACTCTGGTGAACCAATGGGTGATGGTGGTTGTAGGCATCGAGGAAACTGTATGGTCTTTAATTCTTCGATCTCCGCAAACAACTTTCTCCAGGTCAATTGCATTTCCTTTGGCAGTGGATCGTCCCAATCGAATTTTTTCATCTTCCAAATCTCTTGAAGACCAATTCTCGCTTTAATAGTCACAACCGACGCAAGACCTAAAGGGTCGAACAATCTTGAGATGTTGGACAGGATCACTCGCTTGGTGTATGGCTCTGCTTGTGTCACCTTCACTTCGAAATGTATGGTATCCGTCACTGGATTCCAAGAAACTCCTAGCGCTTTGACTCCTTGCTCTCCATCTAAATTGAATTGGTTATTTTCCTTGACGCTTTCTTTAGGGTTGGAAGTTTCGGTGGTTGGAAGGGAAACAGGATTTAACTGGGACGTCACTTTGGTAACTTTAGACACACGATCTCGCACTTCCTTCGAAGAACAATGCCACTCTTTGATTGGGAAACTGCCAGTATTCAAAATCTTCTCGATATCAGAGATTCTCTGGATAGCGTCTGTGTTTGACGGGCACGAGTGAAGCAGGTCGTCGACGTATCTGTCACGCTCGATGATTTTTGATGCTTCTGGAGTAGTCTCTCGATGTTCCTCAGCTATCTTTAACATAACAAAGCTCGCCATATCTGGCGATGGTTTATCGCCAAAGGTAACTCGAAGGAGAACATAGGTTGACGGTTCTCGAGACGTTTCCATGTCTCTCCAAAGGAATCTGTGGACCTGACAATCACTTTCCGGTAATAAGACTTGTAGGAACATCTTCGAAATGTCCCCAGCAAACGCGACTGCTTCTTCTCTGAAGCGGAGTAGAACACCAAGCAAATTCCCGATTAGACATGGACCTTTGTACAGCAAAGAGTTCAGTGAAACTCCTTGGTAGGGGGATGCAGGATCAAACACAATCCGCAGAGGAGTGCTCCTTTTCTCTGGGCGATACACACCATGGTGAGGCAGGTAATACACAGGGCCTTTCGTATTCTTGATCTCTAGATCCGTCAATCTCCGTGCCCATCCATTCTTTTCATACTCAAGAATGGCGTTCGCGTAACTCTTGGCTTTACTGGGATTTCTTGCTAAGCTTCTTTCAAGGGATTCGAGGCGTCGTTTTGCAAGTGGGTAGTTGTTTGGAAGGTTGGCCGGATCTCTCTTCCAAGGGAGGCCGATCACGTATCTTCCACCGAGCCTTTTACACGATGATTCAAACAAATCCACTGCTTTCTTTCCTTCTCTGGTCATGGTTTCTTCTGGACAGCTACACTCAGGCGCTCGCACTCCGACTGTTTCAAACTGATAGAACTTCTCTAGGTCAATCTTCCGAGCAAAATTCAAGTAGCTCATGCTTGGGTTTCGCGTGGCGGAGTCCGGGCCGATGACATACCATCCCAATCTCGTTCGTTTGGCGATAGGCTGGAAAGGAGAACCTTGTCTAACTTCGTTCTCCGCGTGGAGATGGCTATACTGCACCCCGAGGATGAGGTCTACCCGACCAGCACGATGTGGAAACTCTATGTCGCTAAGGTGATCGAATGACTTTAACCAGTTACGGTTGAGCGCAGGGATACTGATGACGGTTTGGTCTAACTCGTGGGCTTCAATAGGGTAAGATTCTCTTCCGCTAAGTGGCGAAATCCAAAACTTGACTCTTCTACTGTCATTCTGGGTGATACGTTTGCCGCCAACAACGGCTATGTCAACTCGTTCTCGTTGTCCTTGCAGTCCCAGTGACTTCGCGAAATCCTTGCGAATTACCGTAGTACCGGCGCCGCTATCAACGAGCACATTCCCTTCTAGAACTCTTCCGTTTGCGGATTTAAATTGGACTCTTACAACGGGCATAATACTGTCGCTATCGAGTGCTGATGTTGCTGAACTGAGTGGTGCTGGAGGAGGTTCGGTGTTCGGGTGGAGTCGTTGGTGATGAAAACGAGAACAACCGTCTATACCACATTTTGTTTTGGACTTGCATTCTCTAGTCAGATGACCGCGATTCAAACAAGAAAAGCACAACCGTTGATTTTTAGCGTGCTGAATTCTTTGATCCGTTGTGCAATTAGAAAAGGTCGGACATTCAACAACACGATGCTCTTCTGAACATACGTAACATTTCAACGGTTTCTTAGAGTTCCCTTGATTAAAGTAAACACCATTTCTTTCTCGGGCTGGCTTTCGAGAACTAAAGTTATAAATGTCTCCAAAATCTGGATCGAATTCGGCTTTTACGCGCTTTCTGAGGAATTTACTGATGTGCTCGAGGGACGGGCTTTCCCCCCTTTCTCTAAGGCCGGACGCGACGTCTTTCCACTTATGAACAAGGTGATCGGGTAATCTCATTATAATCTTGCGGAGATTGTCGGTAGCATTGACGTCTGATAAATGATTAATTTGTTTCAAAGTCGCTACGCAATTTACAACGTCGAAAGACAGTTCTTGTAACGCTTGGCTATCGTTACCTTTGATCCTTTGCTCGTCAATCAATTTTGTAATATACGCTCTTGCTATAACGCTTGGCTGGCCAAACTGTTCCTTAATGATTTTGAGCGCTGTTGCGTACATAGTTCCCTGTGAGCCTAATCCGCTTATAGTACGCTCAGCCTTTCCGGTTACATGCATTTTCAGTTGCGCCATTCTCACGTCGTCAGACAGATGTGGCTTATCGTGTATAAGCAATTTGAAACGGTCGATAAATTCAACGTACTTAAGTGGATCTCCGTCATATTTCATTAACTTTATACTTGGAATATCTTTACTAGCTTCTAGTTTATATAACGCTTCTGCTATAGACATTTTTGAAACTTCGGTAGGCAGAACTGTTTCTTTAAACTCAATTAAATCATCTATCCAACTGTCAAAGGATTGCCGCGATGACAGGTTAACTTGTAGATCGAGTTTCGAAAGGCCGCCGGCGCTGACTTGCTCTCGGTTTTGCGTTGTTAAATCACTAGTTAAATTCCGCGGATTGTCTAATTCCGTATTATCTACGCTACTGTTGATTACCAACTCGCTGTTTTCAGTCGTTTCCCTGGTTTCGATCTGTACGGTCGAGAGTTCCTCAGGGAGATTTTGAGTAATTCTACACTATTGCCTCCGGCTGCTATATTTTCGCTGTTGCTAGCTGACTGTCCCGAAATCTGTTTACTAGTTGAAGACGTTGTGTTAGCGTGTTGTGGCACAGGAACGGACTGAATGTAGTGTTCAACATATTCTTCCATATCGTAAAAGTCTTTGATCAAATTATCTTCCCAACTGTCCATGGCTGAGGTTTGACTCTCGTCAGCAAACTCATATAACTCAGCATGACACTCACGCGCTAACTCAAAGTCCTTGCGGATTTCTATCATTTCTTTCTCGACTCGTTTACGCATCTCCGGGCCCTGGTCGATAAGCTTTCTTACTCTATTAATGGTTCGAGTCATCTTACCTCGTTGAAGTGCGCGCTTTTTCTTTATCTTGCTCATTTGCGGGTTTAACTCACCAACGCCATGTGTTACTGTCGTCTCTTGTGATACTTCACCTACGCCACTTTGGCCTTCTTCGTCGCTCATGATTTCACCCAATAACCACGATAATTCGCCTGCTATCTCGGCACCAGATTGTACTACAGTCCTTTTTTGAACATCTCAACGTGTTAACCAATCTTCAGAACTTGTTTCCAATGGGCAAAACCACGCTCAACACCGTAGAGATTTTCGTAATATTTATTTATATATTCTAAAATGATTGCGTTTGATTAGATTACATTATATTATTGATTGGTGAATAAAGAACTTAACACATTACAAATAAAGATTATAGTACCTGAAGAGTGGGTCTCTACGGCTTGAAACAGCACTTCATTTCATTTCATACACAAGCTATATGCTCAATATCAAACTCAAATCTCTTTGTTCTTATCCTAATATATATAACTGTCCCGAATCAAATTACAAATCAACGCATATCCTATTGCAAGCAAATCAAGTTGAATCAAAGTATAATCAAGATAAATTAAATATGACGTAACAAATATAATTAATAATATGTAAAGTTTTGTCCGAAGGTGGGCTGTCCGAAACAGTGTTCTAAGATGAATTAGGACAAACAACGTGATGGGAACGTTTTAGATTAAAGTTAATTCATAACTTAACCAAAATAAAACCTTTGGGATAACGTTGTGTGCGTTTCGTGTTAGCTGGGGATTTATTTTGGCTTACCCAGTGCATGCATGGCGAGCCAGCCTGACGATTTAGTCATGCTATGCAAATTTTAAGTTATCATTATTCATTTTTTTAGAAATTCTTTGTTTTCACAGTCAATGAACACTAAAATATTAGCATAGCATGACTAAATTGTCGGGCTGGCTACGCCACTGGACTTACCCTGGACGACCACTAATTTGTCTTCGTCCCTAGTTTCTCTGTCGCAAGAGAGAAACAGGTGGTACAAGGATTGTATAAAATGTGGTTTTAACATAATTGTTATAATTTCTGTCAGTTCAAGCCCTTTTTTATCTTAATTGACCTTCTTATCTCTGACGTATAAAATCTATATCGATCCGCCCATATATGATTCGACTGCAAAGTACCGGCTAAGCGTCGATACTAAAGTAAATTGGTCCATCAAAATTGCCTATCTGAACAGATGTATATTTTGCTAACTAGATGCGAGGAAACAAGCATATTTCGCAACTGTGGCAAAGATAATCCTCTGATGTGTTTTGAAGGATTTATGCCACTTGAAGAGCCCTTATTGACAAGAATCGGTTCTATATAATTATACACAAATATTTTAGGAAACAGATACAATATTCAAATAAGGAAATAAATTATTTTATTTCTTGTTTAAAGTTTTTATTTTTGTTTGTCTTGATGATTTTTTAGAAGACGTACCATAGTACTGCGATCTCATCCTATGTGAATGCGTGATACTTCGTATTCGCTCTTATGTGCGATCTCAACACGGGAGAGAATTCTGATCAGCATAACCACGATATGATATTGTATTCGTTTATCATAATAAACAAGACCAAGCTTTTTGACTCGCAATATTGTCATTACTATCCTAAAGACTACTCAGGAGATGACTGGGGGAATCAAGGCACTGCGTGGTAAAAGCACTGCGTGTATTCACTCGCAGCATTTTCACTTATATCGTAGTTCTACTGCATATATACTATAAAAATTATACTCAGTTTTTTGAAGCAAATAAATTCAGGCCTCAGACATGTTAAAATTTGCTATTCTTTAGGAAATATCAAGAATATCATGCATAATATGATCAAACTTAGTTGCTTTTTAAAACTCGAAAATTCGTGGAAATCACGAGCTAGCGTTATTTTTCGCCAGAAGCGAGAATTTACCTTGTTTCAGAGCTTTCAACTCCACCAACTGGAGCTTGCTTCCTCAAACACGCAACAAAATAAATCGTAGACCAGTCTAAGATTCGTATTTACGGCCTTTGCTTACGTTAACAAATGGGATTTTGACGTCATTTGCAGTTCTCCCATATACTTATATAAGTTGTTGACGCAAAATGCCATCGTAAATGAATATTAATTGTTCTCTCAATTACGAAGATGGTAGCACCACTTCATGTATTACGAACCCGTTTTTAAAATTACAATAACACAAGCTACGCCACACCAGTTCCCTCCGTGTAGCTATGCCTATGGCCAAGACTATTAAAATTCGCTATCCTTTAGGAAAATACAAGAATATCATAAATTCATAATGTGATCAAACTTAGTCGCTTTTTAAAACTAAAAAATTCGTAAAAGTCTCGTCGTGGCTGAAAGAATCGTTTCTGGTTTGTGACGGCAGTAAGGTCGGTTCTTCACTAGCTAGCGTACGTTATTTTTCGAGATTTTTGCCTTTGTTTAAGAGCTTTCAAATGCACCAACTGAAACTCTTGCTTGCTTAAACATAAAACAAAATAAATCGTAAACCGGTCTAAGATTCGTATTTACGGCCTTTGGTTAATACGTTAAGAGATGGGATTTTGACGTCATGTGCAGTGTTCCCCACTTCCCGTATACTTGCTGACGTAAAATAATGGTTAGACAAGACGTACGCAGACCGGAAGTAAAGATTTTGTTTTTCACCGAAACAATTCTCGAACCAGTCTTTTGACGTTACTCATGACGTTTATGTTTTTGCTAAAAACGTCACTTGCTTAATTATAATGACATTATACACAGTCATGTCTCCTGAACCAGGTTCAACTGCACCAACTGGAACGAACTCTTGCTTGCTCAAGCGCACAAAAGAATAAATCGAAAACCAGTCTAACGTTTTACGCGGTCAAATTAGCGCTAGAATCGTGCTTGCTTGAACGAAATCCACTTGAATCTGTAAACAAGTCTTAGTCACCTAAATGACCGCACAAAACGCGAAATTCAAAGGCGCCGAAGCACGGTCCAAACACACTACAGTATGTTTGAATCGTGCTAGAATGTGAATCTCAAGGGGAATAAATAATTTAGCCAATGAAATTTTCTGTTTAAAGGGAAATAGACAGGCAATTTGAAAATGTCATTAAGCAGTAGTTTCGAAATATGTTGTCTATATCTTCGCAAGAAACGCAAACACTGCAAAGTAGAGTAGGAAAAATTTCAAAAGAAAAATGTCACAGACACCAAGTAGCTCAGACATATTCGATGATATAAACGATGGCGCATTCTTGTATATATTCAAACCCTTTTGATGGTCAGGAAAGTAATACTGCTTTTGCTTTGTGCAACGCCAGAAGCCACGGATATTTGCGCGCGAACCAAAACCACCCCCATTCTACCCATATTTCCCTGGAGCAGAAAGGAGCTTTCTTTGGTGTTGGTAGTAAATACAAAGACTCGTTCTCCATCG